AAAAAGTAATTAACAAGCTAAGTTTATAAATAGAATGTTTTGTTTATTGATCAATTAAATATTCTTGTGTGGTGTAAAATGCTTTTGATGTAAGAAGATGTTTGACTGTAGTTTTAAATTGTTTCAGAGGTAGCTGTTTAGTTGCATTGTCCAGTTTGTTATAAAACTTTATTTCTATTTTCTAGCAACGTTTCAGTTTCACTTTATTTAAACCACCGTTGTTTCAGATTCGTACACGTCTTTTGTTAGTGTTTTTTGTTCTTTAACTCATGTAAATACAAAATTGTTTTCTTTATGATGGACTGTTAATTTTCGGTTTCATGTTCATCTTACATTGGATAAGTTTTCAACGCAGCGGTCTAAATTCAAGTACTTAGGTACATATTTAAATTTCTGTTCTACATAGGTACGTGAATTTTACTCCCTTAGTAGGAGTAAATTTTCTATTTATCACTTGTTTTGTTTTAGATTCAATTTATTTGGACTGGACACGTCTTTTGGTGAGTGTTTTTTTTGCTTTTAACGCATCTCGCCTGTATTTTGTTTTCTTGATATAGTAGACTGTTAATTTTCTGTTTGAGGTTCATTTGATAAGTTTCAAACGTATAGCGGTGTAATTTGATGGTAGTTTCATGTATAGGCAGAATTTGTTATGCTACATATCTGAATTTTATTATATAAGAGTAAATTTTCTATCTACGTTAGTGCCATTTTGTTTCCACTCTATTTGTTGTAGATTTAATTGATTTGGACAAGTGCCGTTTCGCAACAAACGATGAAGTCGTCGCTGAAACTTCGGCCTATTTTGAAGAGCTCGAGCAAAAGTACTATTCGGATGGAATAAAAAAAATTGGAACATCTTTTTACTAAGTGTATAGAGCTAAAAGGGGACTATGTTGAGAAATAAATCGATTTAATCCCAAAAAACTTGTTTTTTCTATCAAAGGCTAGCTTTATATCAATCCACCCTCGTACCTATCATCTGTTGTGCCTACTTGTAATTAAATTCCTTCTGTAATGCGAATAAATGTTCTAACTAAGCGACTGCTATTTTATTTAAACACCTCATTTTTTCATAGATATCGATGTCAAATGTGCCACTGTCTTTTTTATCGTTCATTTTAACTGTTGCTGATTTGTAGGTCTATGGAGGGGAGATATATGTTTTCGCCTTTAGGTGTCCCCATAATGATTGATCTAATTCTGCGAAGTTACGCTGTGTGGTTTCTCAAGAGAACTATTGAATTGTAATTATAATTAAATAAAAAATGTTTAAAGCACCAGTCTTATTACTTAATTTACAGGCCTCGTATACACCCATCCGTTTTACTGTAACCATTCATTTTGATTTAATGTTTACAGAGTGCCGTTTATCATGATATTGTTTGAATTAATCCGTCTCAATTGCTATTATTTGCGATTGAATAATTAAAATAAGCATCCAATCCAAAATCCAATATTATCTTTTAAATCTTATTGATGGTGTAGCTTTGTTAGATCACTATAGACTATAATATTCGAAGAGTATTGAACAATCCCTTATTTTTAGTTGCACAGAAAATCATTGCTGCGGGCGAAGCAAGAAATGCTACAAGTATTTTGTAGGA